GCACTTTGCGCGTGTGGGCGCCAAAATGTCCGGTACGGGAGGCGCCGGAGTGGGTGCCGGGCCGGGAAGGGCGGCAACGGTGGTGTTGATGGACGAGCTGGACCAGCTCGTAACCGCGAGGCAGGACGTCATGTACAACATGTTCAACTGGCCCAACACTCGCGGCTCGCGACTGGTGGTCATCGCCGTGGCCAACACGATGGACTTGCCCGAAAGAACGCTCAATGCCAAAGTCGCCAGTCGACTCGGCATGACGCGCATCACATTCATGCCGTATACGGATCGACAGCTCGTCGAGATCGTCAAGTCGAGGCTAGGCATCGATGCCGGCGACGAGGCGAGCGGATGTGCAGATGTGCTCAGCCTCGATGCCATCACGTACGTCTCGAAGCGCGTATCCAACGTTTCGGGTGATGCGCGACGTATGCTCGACGTCTGCCGCCGCTCAATCGAGCTGGTGGAAGCGAAATCCGCCTCGAGTTCCAGCGCGGTATCCAAGGTGACCATCCTGGATATGAAGTCGGTGCTCGACTCGATGGTCAAATCGGGCAAAGTATCGCACATCCTCTCGCTGCCGCTGCACGCCAAGATCGTGCTGCTCAGCGTGCTCAGCTGTCTGCGACGCTCGGGTCTCGCCGAGACCGAACTCGCCGATGTCGCCGCACACCACAAGGCCATCTGCAGAATGTTTGCCGTCAACCTCCCCGCCACGACGCCGGGAGAAGAAACCTCGCTCAACTCGCCACTAGCCACCCTCAGCTCGCTGGGACTGCTCATCTGTGTAGGCCAGGGCGCGGGCACGGGAAGAGCAGCAGGGTACGCCAGAGTCATGTTGGCGTGCCAGGAAGACGAGGTACGCCTGGCCTTCGAACATGATCCCGACGAACGACTGCGCAAGATGCTCTGACGTCACACTCGTCGACTCGAACGAGCTCGCAACTTAGCGATTGGCATGCTCCCCTCACGTGTGCCGTGTGACCACAGCTTGAACGAGTCGCAGGCGGATGGAGATCGAGATGGTGCGGCGTTGAGAAACTTTGATTTGGGTGCAATGTGTGATGATTGTGACTTTGTTATGCCTGCTCGTTGGTGGTGGTGGTGGTGGTTGTAGTGGGAGCGAAGCGGCTGCTACGGTTGCGGAGCAGACAGTAGTCTCCGTACACATTGGCGCTTCCAGGCCAAGCCTTGGGCAGCCAAAAGGCGCGGTGGAACGCCGCTGCCGCCTTGAGCGCCGCCCTCTTGAGCGCCGCATCGCGTGGGTCGGCAGCAGGACGGCTGAACTCTGCGTCCAAAAAGGGCGCGCAGAAGACGCGGTCCCAGTCGGCCTGGACGGCGTATCGAGGCTCGAGCTCGGATTCATCGCCAGTAAGGCTGCGGTGGGGAAGGTCGAGATCGACGAGGTAATCGCACGAGTCGACGTCGACGTAGCGGTCAAGCTCCTGCTTGTTCATGTCGTTGAAGCCGGATTGAACGCGGCGCGTGGTCGAAGACCAAGGCCAAGCCCAGCCGAGCGACGCATCCAGCACGCGCGCCACGGCATCCGTAGCGGGCGAGGGCGAGGCATGGGCAAAGTGTTTGGGAAGGATACCGCGGAACTCGCTGCGGACCCACTCGACCTCTACCCCGGCGGGCACGAGGAAGTGCGTCGGGAAGCGGTGCCACTCTTTACCGTAGCACAGTCGCACAGGCTGCTGCATGGTCGCCAGCGGAGAGAGGTCGATCGAGAGGTCGACGCTGACGCCCTTGTTCTCGGCGCCGTAGCCGCGGTCGTTGTACTCCTTCTCCTCGGACGTGGCTACTGCGGGGAGGCCGCGTGCGATACGCTGCTGAATCGCCGGGCTGAGCGTGTCGGGAAACTTGTCGGCCACCAGACGCGGGAGCTCGTAGCCTTCAAGGTGGAAGAGCACATCAAAGGGCGCGTGGTAGTGGTTGAGTTGGCCGACGGAGCGTAGTACGCCGAGCAGGATGCCTGCTGCGAGGAGAGTCGAGGTTATGGTGGTGAAGAGGCTCGATTTGGAAGCACGGTAGGGTGACTTGGTGACTTGGACGAAAGCAAGCTCAGCCAGGGTACGGGTGAGGTAGAGCGAGACGGCAGCGTTGAGACACAGGAGCGTGTAGGCGGGGTACATGAATCGCTCCTCCTTGTGTGCCTGAAGGCTGAGCAGCAAGAGCCAGACGTAGAACGGAGCGATTCGCAGCAGGGCAAGCGAAAAGAGGCTCGAGGGCTGCTCGACTGCCACATTTCCCTTTTTGGAAGAAGTATCCTCTGCGGGACGTCGGAAGCGCTTGGGGTCCACACGCGCAGTGACTAGCAGCAGCGGAAGCGAGAGCAGCGCGAGGGGTGCAAACACGTTGAAGTTGAGCACGAGATTGCTAAGGTAAAAGGTGGGCGGTTCGGTGCCGTAGAGCTCGGGTCCTGCGCCGCGGGTGCGCGAGAAGAGGTTGTAGAGGATGGTGTTGAACGGCACAATAGACAGCTTGCCGTAGGCGAGAGAGTCGATAGCGAGGGCAGGGAGCGCAAGTAGGACTGCAAGAACAGCCGCGCCGATAGCGGTGGACCAGCGGGCCACGATCCAGTGTGAGTACTTGCCGGTGGCGACGGTGTCGTCGGCGCGCATGAAGAGCTGTTCGAGCACAAAGGGGATGGCAAGGACGATGGCGAATGGCCAGCCGAGAAGCGCGCCTGCAGCGAAGGAGGAGGTGGCGAGGATGAGGCGCTCGGATCGGAAGGGTCGCTGGGAGGGCGTGTTGAGGACCGAGGCGTCTGTGGAGGGCAGACGGGCCGGGTAAAGGCAAGCGGAGAAGGCGAGCGTGGTGGCATGCATGACGAAGGTGGAGGGAAGCAGAGCGACGGATGCCTCGTACATGCCTGCACTTGCAGCGAGCATCACGAGGCAGTATCTTCCGACTCGTGCGCCAAATACGTCTGCGACGGCCTTGTAGAACCTGGCGTCTACGAACGAGGATACAAAGGCGAGAAGCAGACGGACGGCGAAAAAGACCTGGCGCTTCCCTACGCCAAAGTGAGCGAGGGGCTTGGCAAGCGGGAGGTATTGTGCGACAAAGGCCCAGGATCGGATGGCGAATTGGGGCGAGTACTCCCATGTCTGGAAGGGGACGTTTGCATGAGCGTTGCCAGGGTTGAAGACGAGGAGGTGGAGGGGCTCCCAGTAACCGAAGGACTCGTCGCAGTCCTTGATGACGGAGTACATTGCGGAGGATACGCGGATGATGATGAGGAAGCGAAAGGCGGCCGAGATGGAGGGCGACCAAGCGGGCTTCTGGTGCATGCGGGCGTAGTCCTGGAAGAGGGCATTGCGACGAGCGAGGAGGGTGTTGGCGGCGGCGGCATCCTTGGCTGCGGTGGCCTTGGCGAAGCTGGCGTTGCCCTGCTTCTGGAAGCGCAGGCCCTGACCCTTGGGTACGTGAGGCGACGCCATCTTTGCGAGCCCTTCGAGGGATGAAGATCGAGGGAAGGGCAAGGTGGTGTGATGGCAAGGAGGACAAAATCTTGGCGGCGGTCCGTGCTGAAGAAGAAATGTCGGATTGGTTCGCTCTCTCTGTTCTTGCGGCGCGCTCATTATAATAATCCAACACGACAACACTTTCTTCGGATCCAAATCACGATTTTCAGCTCAAAATAATGTTAAGTTGGCGAAGGACGTTGCATCTCTACGATCTACTGCCCGATGGCCTTGAGAAGCGCCGAGAGCAGGCGGTGTTCAAAGATGGCTTCGACGAACTCTCCTTCTTGGGTGAACCATTCGCCCAGATGGCCGAGCGGCAAGGAAGAGTTCTTGCTGCCGAGCAAAGATTTGCCCTTGTTGGACTTGCGCGTGTAGTGCAGGTGGAGAGTGTAGGCGGGTGGAGTGAGGAGCGGTTTTGCGTCGGGCGATGTTGGTGCTGCCTTCTTGGTTGCCTTGGGCAGCGGTGGCGATTCGAGCACGATGCGCTCCGTTTCGATGCGGTTGGAGAGCATCTTGCGCGTTCCGGTGAAGATGGTGTTGCCCTGCATGTACGAGTCGAGCATCTGGAGGGCCGAGAGGACGGCATAGACGACCACCGCTACGCCGCACGCGTACTTGTTGCGGCTCCACTCCTTTTCGACAAAGTAGGACCATATCGAGGTGCCGATCATCACGGCCGAGGCCGTGAATCCGAGCGCCAGACGCAGGTCGGCGTGGCGATGGCTCGCCCTGAAGGGCGCATATCCGAGCTGCTTGGCCTGCGAGTTGTCGTCGACCTGGCGCGAGAGGATGCGCTCGACCGCCTCATCGCACGTCGACTTGAGCTCCGAGAGGTTCGAGTTGTCCACGACGATGCGATCGCTGTTCTTTGGCTTGGCCATCTTATCGTATGCAAGCACGACGAGGGTGATGATGGCGAGGTTGCAGCGGCACGCGCATGCCGTCCTCAATCCTCATTCCAATCCAGGGTCCCCACCCCTTTCCTTTGCCTTTCGAGGTGCGACGTGCGACGTGGAAGCCCTGGCCGCCAAAAAAAATGCTCAGCAGTGTGAGGTCGAAGCGATCGACACTGTCATTATTTTTCGAATCAATCGGGCGTAGATTCGTTCCGCTGCTTCTTCGCCACAGAAAAGCACGGCTGGAAAATCGATATTCGGGCGCAAATTTGCAGATGCGAGCCAAGCGGCACTGGGGCCCTTTCTTCTGGATCGCCTCTGCAACGATGCGCACCGCGCGAAGAAAATCGGGTGCACCGTCAATCTTCCACTTTTCGAGGGAGAGGCAGAGGCACAGAGGCAGAGCAGAGGGAGAGAGCAGAGGGAGAAAAAGACAGACAGACGGCTGCTGGTGCGCCTGCCGTGATGCGAATCCATCGCTGCCGTCGCCTGGCCAACAAAAGGGTGTCGTCCATCTCATCATCCTCACCACCAGCTACTCCAGCTTCTTCTCGCTACCTCTCCAGCACAGGTAGCCCATTTCCAACCCATCTTCACATCCAGAACAACCCGTGGCCAGCCACTACTTTTGCCCATCATGCGTAAGTCTCGTCTCTTTCACACCGCACGCGCAACCCAAAAGGCTCACTCCTCCTCGTCTTCCGCACCCGCTCATCAGCGCCTAAAAAGGGACAGAAGATGTCGCTCAACGACTTCTTGGCCGACGAGTCCACCGGCAAGACCTCCTGGGCAGACGAGATGGACGATCTCCCCATCGCATCGGCTCCTCGCGACAACTCCTACCGCAGGGGCGGCGACTACCTCGCCTCCATGCCCGACCGTGTCGACCGCGACCGTGGCTTCGAGCGTCCCGAGCGCAGCTACCCGCCCCGCGACGAGCTGCCCCTCCCCGACAAGCCTCCCTTCACCGCCTTCGTCGGCAACCTTTCCTTTGACGTCGTCGACGCAGACGTAGAGGACTTCTTCGCCCCTTCCCAGCTCGTCAGCGTCCGCATCGTCACCGGACATGACGGCAAGCCAAAGGGCTTCGGTTACGTCGAGTTCCAGTCCCAGGACGACCTCCGCGCCGCACTCGACAGGAGCGGCTCCCAGCTCGCCACCAGGACCGTCCGCATCAGCGTCGCAGAGCCACCCAAGTCCGGCTTCGGCGGCGACCGCGCCATGCACTCCAGCCAGGCCGACGACGCCTCCCAGTGGCGTCGCGCAGCGCCCCTCCCGCCCTCCGAGCCCCGCGGTGGCTTTGCCCCGCGCACCGAACGCTCCGGCGTGCCTCCCCGCGCAGAGGGCTCCGGCTTCGACAACATGGACGTCAGCGGCGGCGTCCGCAGCGGCTTTGGCGCAAAGTTCCAGTCCGCCCCTCCCGCCGCCAACCGCCCGCCTCGCGACCCTGCCGCCGCCGCCGCCCCGCTCGAGCCTAGCCAGGCCGACCTCGCCAACCAGTGGAGGACGGGCAAGCCGGTCGAGGGCCG